ACACACACACACACACACACACACACACACACACACACACACACACAGAGTCTTCCCTGACCTCCCAGAGAAAGTTAGTCTTCTTTTTGGCTCCTTTAGCATCCTATGAAAAACACCTTTGTTATGGCACCAATAAAACAGTTTGACTAGAGGGAAAGAACCAGATCCTAACAGGGGATATTTGGTAAATGTGTGATTAGCTTAATTCAGCAATTTTAAAGCTTAAGTTTTTAAGTAAGGGGATATTTTCTTCAATCATAATCTCCTGCCAAAACCTAATGTGTAGACTAGATAAGAGCCAGCAATCCCTTCCCTTAGCCCCCTTGTGCCATGCTGCCTCTGAGGTGCCAGTGCCTTAAGTGGGCATAGTGTGAAAACAGAGGCTTTCCTACAGTTGACCAGATATCTGATCTGTCAAAAGTCTGTCAGATTCAGCCATAAAAAGGATTGAAGTACTGATACATGCTATAACATGGATAAAACTTGAAAATATTATGTTAAATGGAAGAAGCTAGACATAAAAGGCCACATTGTTGTATAATTTGATCTGTATGAAATGTCCGGAATAGGAAAATCCATAGAGACAGAAAGTAGATGAGGGTTACCAGGGCCTGGGGGAGAGGAGAATGGAGAGTGACTGCTTAATGGGGATGGGGTTTCTTTTGAGGCGGTAAAAGTGTTCTGGGATTAGAGAGCGGTGATGGTTGCCCAACTTGTGAACATACTAAAAACCTCTGAATGGCACACTCTAAAAGGGTGAATTTTACATTATGTGATTTATATCTCAATAAAAATATAATTACAGTGGCACAGTATTCCATTCCATGGAATTGAGAGAAATAAAGGAATTTTTATAAAAGCAGACTAGGCATAAGTTTGTGTAATGTTAATATTTCTTTGTAAAATTACATGTGCATAACTGTTATCTTCGTCTAATTGTGAAGAAATGTGACTGGGATTCTCTGGGATGTGTATAAACTTATTGGGAGCAGTGAGTAAGTTCCTCCACCCCCAATCACCACCACACACACACAAAAGAAAACAAACAAAAAACTGTCAAAAATTTAGGACCGGGAGCTAGAGTCCTAAGAATTATTTCCAAAGCAACTTTGTATCCTTGCTCAATCTATCCAGTCACCCTAATGCTTCCCCTGGACTCTAACCAGCCCCTTCTTTTCATGGAAACCCATGATGGAAATCTCTACCCCCCCACCCCCCCACCTTGGGATGTCCTTGTTTTGAGGGTAATATTGGCAGAGTAGAAGCTGTTGAGGAGGTGGTGGCTTCCTGAGGAAAGAACTGCGGTCTGAGAGAGCTGAGCAAGGACACCAGGGCTTATGAGTAAAGGTGGGGAGGAACTAGGCTGGGGTAATAGGCAAAGCCCTTGGCAGGAACTTAGGCTAAATTTTGGGAGTCAGGTGGGTTCTGGGAAATAACAAAGGATGATGGCTCAGGCCACCCATGTACAGTGAGTGGGTTAAGGTCAGGAGAGTGAGGTGACAGCCTTTTGGTGGAGAGGCACTATCTCAAGGGGAAGACAAAGGGGAGAAAAGGGCTGGAGAGTGGAACATCTGGGGTTTTCGCAATAAACCACAACTAGGTCTTACCTTCAGCCTTAGAACTCCAGTTTGGGTAAACACTTGAAAAAAAGAATTGGTGCAGGCCAGAATCTTATCTCCTCTTAATAAATCATGAAGAAAAGCCCAGGATTCTTACACCTCTCTCCCTCATCCTCCCACTCTTCCCCAGATTGACGTCTGACGAATAGCCAGAAATGAGAGTCACACATCCATACCCAGAGTCAAGAGGTGGACCCCAGCTGCAGGCACCCATACACACACTTTAGCCATGCCCTTTTATTATTTCTTTTTCATTGAGACAGGTGGATGGTGGTTAGTGGTGAGGGGTTCCCATACCCCCACTGCAGTGTTGCAGGACAACTCAGCAGTTCTCGTGTTTACTGGGGTAGACATCCCAGTGGAAGCCAATGGCATTGATAATGGATTGGCCAGATCGGCCACTGATGAATCGTAGCACAGTGTTGGGGTGCAAGGGGACAGCTTTGAAATTCTTGCCTCTGTTTTTCCCAAAAGTCAAGACGCGGGACTTGTCAGTCACAAAGACCAGCTTTCTCAGGTAGTTCCTGTACTTTCCCGACACCTGGACCACTGATTCCCCAGGGTCCAGGGAGATCTCGTGCAGCTTTCCCAACTTGCCACCCACGTAATCGCTCCACACCTTGCCGTAGCGCACCTGGAGACTAGGGGCAGGGGTGAGGAGGGAAGAAAGGGAGACACTGAGTAAGGTGATCAGAATTCAGGACCTCTTGGCCTACAGGCTGAGACCTTCAGACTAGTGACAGGGATGACAAACCCCCTGCCAGTCCCACAGAATGTGAGGGTTGGGTAAGCCCTTGGAGATCATACATGGAACTTCAACTCCTCATTTTGCTGACAAACAGGCTCACAGAGGGAAAACAACTTGCCCAGAATCACCCAGACAGTGAATATCAGAGCTTGAATTTGAAGTCTACACTCCCACCAGGCCCCCACCCCCTACTTGAAACAAGAAAAGGGATTTTTCAAACATCTGAAAGGCTCCGATGAAGGAAGAGACTTGTCCATGCTGTGCTGGGATACAAGTCCAGGATCAGAAGGATAAAGCTTTGGGAGAGCCATCAAGCAAAGACGGAGGGTGCCAGAGGGGATTTAAGCCTTGGGTGGGGGAAAACTAGACAACTTCCAGGTCCCTCTGAGTTGATGGTATATGATTTACCCAAGATCACAAGTGTGGGTGTGTTAGGGGTTTCGACAGCACAGGTCTCAAATCCAAGTCCTCTAATAATTTTTCCATATCCTGTTATCCCTGTGACTTGATTGAAACAGATGTGACCCAAAGTGACTGAGAAATACACAATTTAGTAAGATCCTAGAAGGTCCCCAAACCACCAAAATGCAAAGAATCTTACCCTATGATGTAGTAGCTGTTAACTCGGACACGAATGGCGGTGATGGGGCCATCCAGCTGGTTTGCAGAATGGGAGAATCGCTTTCCTCCGTAGCCTCCATACTCTCCACTGAAAGAGGAGGAGCTGGCCTGAACTGGAGGGAAAGGTGGAGTTGGGGGAGAAATCCCCTGAGAGCGCAGTTTCTCCCCACCACCCTTATTCCCCCCACAACTCAGTTCCCACCACCCCAAGTCAGCCACTGACAGCCTTGGCCACCAGCAGTACAGGAAGCTGCTTCCCCTGACTCTAGTGCTGGGCTCCTGGTTTCTCACTTACGCTTACTGGCAGAGGCTGATGCACAAAGAAGGGCAAGAAAAGCAACGGTCAACATCCTGGGGCTGGAGTGGGAAGAAAGGAGAAAGTGAACGTTTACCCTTATCCCCCCAGATATCATTTACCCAGGCACCCCTGATCTCCAGTTGAGGCTCGGGTTTCTTGGTCCTTCAACTCAGACCTCATCCACCGAGTCTTGGTCTTAGAAAGAACTGTCCACACTCTCTAGTCCTGTTTGTCACAAATACTATCTTATGTGTCCTCAATCCCTCTGCCTCTCTCTGGTCTGGCTACAGCCGATCCTTCTCTTCCCTCCCAAGCCAGAAGATCAATCCTGACCTTCTAACTGGATTAAGCTGTGTCAAGCCCTGTTCCCTCCTGGCACAAAGCAGGAAAGGAGTTTTCTAAAGAAGAAGTGGAGGACATCTCCAAATCCTAGAGATGGTTGAGTTTATCAAACCAGGAGTCGGAGCAAAACCTAACTGAAGTAGGCCTGTGGTAGATTGGCCCAGTCTGTGGGACATCTGGGGCATAGTTTAAATTCCTAGTTTCATCCTAGTCTCAAATCAGAAGGAAAGGAGCATTTTAGAGGTGTGTCTCTGGGTCACTTGGAGAGTGAAGGTGGTGATAGAAGAAACAGCCAACAGCACTGTCCAAGCAGTTCTGGTGCAGGTGGGATAGACTGAGGAGTTGGAGAAGAAATCGGAACCGGCTTAAGACAGATCCCAGGCACCTGGTCTATTTGTCATACCTCCTTCTCCACTAACACAAATCTGGCCGTAGGTGTATCCTGGGTGTCCCCAGTCCTTAAGCTGAGATCCAGATATCCTTACACCTAAGACTAGCTCACAACCAGATGCCCCGGTTAGCTGACACGCAGGTCTCCCCAGCCATTCAATCCAGGAAGCCTCTTCTTCAGCTCAGCGTGAATCCCCTCTAATTCAAATCCAGGCATCCCTATTACCCCTCAGACCATACCTCTGTCACCCCTCACCTGGCACTTTCAAGTGCAAAGTAACCCCCTGGAAACTTCCAGGTCTTTTATACCTCGTCCAAGCCCTCCCCCTGCTCTTCATTGCGTGAACCTCACCTCCTGAGCAAACATGATCAAACTCTTAGGGTCAGTTGTCAGGCAGGGTCTGGAACATCTTATCCTGCCCCAAGGGTTACAGGTGGCAGGGTGGGGTCAACTCTGGACCAAAGCCCAGATCTCAGGAGAGGCAGAATAAACTTGAGAAAAGATCACCAACCGAAGGGCCAGCTGCTTTGTGTGGGCAAACTTCCTAATCACCTCTGGGTGTGGTCCAAGGTTCTCCTTCCCCTATTTGGTTTCTGCTGGTGCCCTCACCTGCAATCTGCCATCTTTCAGGATAAACATTGTCCTCTGCAGGTATTTGAAATATAGATTCTCCTGGAAAGGGATTACACTCCCAACACCTTATACTTAGGAATGCCTACTATTTGCCAGACACTTTTTTTCTCTCCCCTTATATTTTATTTGAAAAAATCCAGAGTATAGAAAAGTTGAAAGAATTGTACAGTGAACATCCCTATGCCCACCATGTAGATTCTATCTTAATATTTTGCTGTACTTTCTATTTTTTCCATTCATCCATCCTCGATCTGTCAGACTCTTCACAAACTTTTTCTCTCTGAGAACGGTGACTTGAGGCCACAGGACACCTGGAGATCCCCCTCCCTGGAACAGGTAGAGTCAGCGCAGTGGGCAAGTGGGAAGCTGAGGAAGTAAAAGCAGACAGGTCCTCCTCTGGGGGCAGTTCTGGGCCCTCAGGACTCCTGGGCGCCATAGCTGAATCTTCCTGGGGCTGTAGCCCACACAGGGCAACGGCTCCCTCCTGTAGGTCTGAAACTTCCCCAGGGTTGGTGTCATCGATTTCTTCTCTTTGCCAGCCCTTCTCTTCTGGGGCCCCTCTAGGACTGGCCCTCTGACCCACTGTGTCAGCAGGGCAGAAAAACAAAGCCCAAGGAGGGGCTGGAACCCTTAGCCTTGGTTAGTAATGATCAGGAGCGTGGCATTTGGAGTACCCCACCCCCTTATAGGCTCACCATCTGGGACTGAGGACTCATCCCAAGAAACACAGGGAGCCCCACCCTGATGAGCCGGAAGTAGGGTGGGGCTCCTGGCAGGGAGATTCCGGGAGCTAGGAGGGCAGCCAAGGAGGCACTGTGTGATCTCCCCTCTCCAACCTTCTGCACGTCCAAAACGAGCACATCCTGGTGACAACTTTTACTTCATTCCAGCCATTTTGTTCTCTTATGACTTTTGTCCTTTCTTGTGCTTGCCTTTCTTCCCTGATTCTCTCTCCTTCCTTTAATGTCTTGCTCTTTCCCTGACATCTCTTGCCCTGGGGTTTTCCCTTTATATTCTCTCTTTCTTCGTGCCTCTTCTCTTCTTTGTCTCTTCATCTCTCCCAAGCTCTCTCTCTAACTCCTCCCCCTCTCTCCTCTCTCATTATCATGCGTCTCTTCTTCTTTAATAGGAGCACATCACAGAGTCTGTGACCAAACACAGGGAATCAAAGATGGCAGCTCAGGGAGGTCTGAGGTGAACACCTTGGGAAAACACCCTCACATTTCCATGACTGACACATCTGGGACCCTCAGAATAGAGGCTCCTATACTTGTCATAGGTGCGGTTTCATGCCAAGATCCAGAGTCCCCTCCATGCCTGCAGACTGGTCCCTGGGTTCCGGGCAAAAGTTCCTGAGTCCCCTTTCCAGAGTGACAGAGATACGCTTCCTCCAGTGGGAGGGGTCTCAGGGTTCATCCTCTGTCGTCCTGGAGACAAGAAAGGCCACTGTGTAGCTAATGCTGGTACATCTTAGAGTTTGCGCTGATGCTGTGCCTGAGGATCCAAAAGGAAGAAGGTGAAGGCCCTGGGACACCAGGCCCCCCTCTGCTTCTACCTCATTAGCTCCTATTTAAACTGGTTCACATTTAACCCATGTGCCAGCTGGGTGCCTACCTGCCCCAGTCCCTATAAGCAGTGGAAGGTACCCCTGCTCCAGTGCTACAGGCAGGGAAAGTCCAAAGCCTTCCCGAGCTTTCTGCTATCACAGGCAACTTACACTCACTGACTCCTCTGCCCTTTAGCAAAGCGACTAACTCAGCACATGTTTATGGAGCATCTCTATGTTGGAGGCACCACCCCAGATGCTGGAGAGATAGTAAGGAGGAGGGGAGTCAAATCCCACCCTCAGGAGCTTTCACTCTAGCAGGGGGAGTCATCAAATGAATGTTACTACATGATATGTGCTATGAAGAAATCATCAAAGCAGAGAGAGAACGTGAAGAGGGATGGAGAGGCCGCTGCTCTGGCTTAAAGGGTCCTCTGCTCAGGTAATATTTGCAAAGAGACCTGATTGAAGTGATGGAGAGAAATAAGATATTTGGGTGAGGAGTGGGCCGGGCAGAGGGAACAATAAGTACCAGAGCCCTGAGCAGGAAGCACGTAGGATGAATTCAGAAACAGCAAGGAGGGCAGGGTGGCTGGTGGTAAGTGAGGGAAGCCAGTGGGAGGCAAGGTCTGGGCAGCAGCCAGCGGGCGGAGGGCGCAGGGCCTGGGAGGCCATGGTCAGGAGTTTGGATTCCTTCCGAGAGTGAGGGGAGCCATCGAAGGGTTTTACCTTTTAAAAGGGTTCCTCCAGATTTTGATAGAGTGGAGAATGGACTGGGGGTGGGTGCGGCTGGGGAAGGGAGGCCATGGCAAGAGGGGAGTGACCCTCCCCCCATTTTGCTGGGTCCCTCTCGCCTGCCCTCCTGGACTGTCCGAGAGACCCTCCCTCCCTCAGACAAAGCAGCTCTGTCTTCTCCAAGTCTTGGTGCATGTTCAGACCCCAGGGTGAGAATCTGCCCCTTCCCCCCATCAAGGAGTTTTCACAGTATAGTTCCAAACAACGGTAGATCTGTTTCCTGTTAAGAAAAAAACATCCTCCACCTCCTCATTTATACATTGGGCCTCCATGGAGGTTTCATTTGAGCAAAGGGTTTTACCATGAAAACAAACGTGAGCTTGCTTTTCTGCTCACTCTTCACTGTTCCAATGGATAAAGTCTAGAGAGCAGAAGTGACCTCACTAAGTTGAAAAAGGGGGTTCTACCCGCCTGACCCTCATGCCCCACACGCCCGCCCCTCAGTGGCCTGCAGTTTGGTTTTGCTACTCCAGCTGTTCCCAAAAACCGGCCTCTTCACCGGTGCCAAATAGAAATGCGAAGAGAAAGGAGGAGACAGAGTTTGGGGTGAGGTAGAAAAGAGTAGCTTTTATTGCTTTGCCAGACAAAGGGGGCCACAGTGGGCTAACATCCTCAAGACTGTGTGCCCCACCCCGGAGCGGGTAGTGAGGAGTCTTATAGTGTTCAAGGAGCAGGGTGTGGTCAGCTCGTGGACATTCTTCTGATTGGTTGGTGGTGAGGTAATCGGGAGTCAGCATCATCAACCTTCTGGTTCCAACTGGTCTGGGGTCTATGCGCTTGTAGACAGTGTACAGTTAACTTCTTCCACCTGGTGGGAGTTTTAGTATCTGTAAAATAGCTCAAAGGTTGTGGCTTAGAATAATATCTATAGTCCTTGAGGAGGAACTAAAGGTCCTTGACTTTGATTAATGGCTAAAGTATTATTATTTTGTCTTGCTTGACCGTTTCCCTTTCTTTCTGCATTTTCTCACTTCTCTGATTAAATTTATTCTTTGACTAAAGTTTTTCTACAGACAAAAGGCAGGCGGAGGACATGGGTGGGGGTCTATTCTGGGAAAGCCTCCTAGGGTCCTGCTCGGTTACATGGCTGCCCAAAATGCTCCCCTCCTCTGCCCACCCAGTGCCTTCTACCCTCAAGATATTCTGCCCATACCACCAGCTCGGCCACCCCCTGTGCCCACCACCAAGCCTGCTCTCCTCAACTCCCTTCTCTTCCCAGCCCCTCACTTTGAACAGAATTCATGGCTCCTTTCTCTCATGGTTCTGTCCCCCACTCACAGCCTTCAGCTGTGCTTCCTCCATCACTAGTCTGGTTCTAATTACCCTGCACCGCAATTTATCTGTTTACAGGGAAGGCTCCTCCACTGAAACGGGAGCCCATCCTAAGGCAGGAACTGTGTAGTCCCCACCTCTGAATTCCCAGGTCCTGCATCTCACCTGGCCCAGAGCAGGCGTCCCCTAGAAATGACTGTCAAATGCGTCAGCTGCAGCGAGACTCCTATGAAATGTTCCTCTTTTGACTCTTCACACAGCTATGTCTCTCTTCTCACAGGGTTGCATATGGGTTTTCTTCAATTTCTCATTTACACTTCCCCTGAAGAAATTCTGTATTCAGAAGAATACTGGGCATAAACACAGAATTCTGTGTTGAGGTCCTCCATCCAATATTTCTTAGCTGTGTGAATTTAAGGAAGTCACCTCATTCTTTAGAGCCTATATTTCTGCATTTACAAAACAAGAAAAAAATATCTCAAGATCAACCAAAACCCTAAAGGACAGTGTTTTTCAAACGGTAGATCTTAACCCATTGGTGTGCCATGAAATCAGTTAAACAGCTCAAGATCAGCATATTTTAAAAGTGGAATAGAAAAGAAAATAGGAGAGCAGTGCATGTAACAAAGTTAAATATTGTTTTTTGTTTGTTTTTTTTTTTGCGATATGTGGGGCTCTCACTGTTGTGGCCTCTCCCGTTGCGGAGCACAGGCTCCGGACGTGCAGGCCCAGCGGCCATGGCTCACGGGCCCAGCCGCTCCGCGGCATGTGGGATCTTCCCGGACCGGGGCACGAACCCGTGTCTCTGGCATCGGCAGGCGGACTCTCAACCACTGCGCCACCAGGGAAGCCCCAGTATTGGGGTTTTTTGTTTGTTTGTTTTTTGGGTGTTTTTTTTTTGGCCCTGCGGCTTGTGGAGCCTTAGTTCTCTGACCAGGCATCGAATCTGGGGCCCTGGCAGTGGAAGCGCCGAGTCCTAACCACTGGACTGCCAGAGAAGTTCCAATATTGTTTCTTGAAGTAGTGCACTTAAACACTCTATCTGTGTGTAGTGGGTCGCAATATGAAATGTTATTTCCTATTACAAATTGCAGTTTTTTAACTCAAAGGGTAAGGTTCAAGTACAATTTCTTCATATACCAATGCTATTTGTTCAAAACTGTCAGGCTAGAAGTGGATTGGGACACATCTAGGGCAGTAACTAGAGTGGCTCTGGAGACCCAGATTTGGGTAGATAAGTGTACACTGTTAATAATTACTTTAAATTGAGATATAATTGACATATAACATTATATTAGTTTCAAGTATATAGCATCATGATTTGATATGTGTATATATTACAAAATGATTATATATTAATCATTTTTGAAGTCAGAAACCTATAGCGATGTACCAAGAATTTGTGGACAGAATGTTGTATTATAAAGAGACATGGGTTAAAGCTTGGGTCCAGTCCTTACTCTCTTCATGACCTACTGAGCCTCAGCTTCTTCATCTGTATATTGGAGATAAGGAGATCAACCAATTTCTGTTGACAGGCCTGGCATGTGGTAAGTACTGGGTAAATGTTTATTCTCTTCTCCCTTGAGAATTTCACAAAACACGGCTTTCCTTTTTGGTCTCTTTCAGATAAAGGTGGTGTAGGCAGCCATATCTTTTTCATCTGCAGTTAGCTTTATCTTATGGTTTAGCTTGAGTTTAGATCCTGGAGATCTTGTCAAACGCATCATAAGACTTGAAAAAGAATTTTGTGTAAGTTGGCTTGAACAACTAAAGTTAAAGTCACTTGGGAATCTGGTTTTTATTTCCTTTTATTGAGATATAATTACACGGTAACTTTTTTTAAGCTCTGTTTTTGCTTTCAGTCTCCACACCTCTTACTGAATTATCAACTGCAACTTTTTATTTTTTTCCTTTGTTTAGTTTATTTTTCCTTCGTTTCCTTTAATTTGTTTTCCTCCTCCTCACAAAAATAATCACTCTCCAGAACATATGACAATATAATATTCAAAGGGATGAAATCCTTTTCCATCTGAGTGATAGGATCAGCTATATCCAGTGCTCATATATGCTGGATAAACTATCAAAGTGGGAGTCGCTCCACCAGGAAGCAGTCATTCTTGCTTTGTGTCAGGAGGAATTCATCTAAAAATAGGAGCAAAAAAAATAAAATAAAATAAAAATAAAAATAGGAGCAGATTTGGTTTCCTTTACACATCACGTGAAGTTCAAACAGTCATCTGCTCTCATGCATGATGGGTTCTGCAAATGCATTAAGACAGAGATAGTGTGATGTGCTGGTGAAAAGCACAGACTGTGTTGGAATCCAGCCACCACTACACAGAGGGCACACGTGTGCCTGGGGCAAGTTATTTATTTATTTATTTATTTATTTTTAAACAGGAGAAAATCAAATAACATGTGTACATGGGAGAGTCCCAGAAAAATTGAGTAACTCGCCAAAATGGGCGAAGCCCTCATCTTAAATGCCACCCTCAGCTAAAGACAGAAGAGGATGTTGAGGGTGGGGAGAGTCCATTCTGGGAGGTGTGCAGGAAAACACACAGTAAACAAGGGTGATTGTGATGCAGATCTAAGCATTGTCTTCTCCACGGATAAGAATTTGTAGAGAGTTGGTCATAAAAATATGGAATGCTTTGGACTTCTCTGGTGGCGCAGTGGTTAAGAATCCACCTGTCAGTGCAGAGGACACGGGTTAGAGCCCTGGTCCGGGAAGATCCCACACGCCGCGGAGCAACTAAGCCTGTGCACCACAGCTACTGAGCCTGCGCTCTAGAGCCCATGAACCACAACTGCTGAAGGCCGCGCCTAGAGCCCGTGCTCCGCAACAAGAAAAGCCACCGTAATGAGAAGCCTGTGCACCGCAACGAAGAATAGCCCCTGCTCGCCGCAACTAGAGAAAGCCCGCGAGCAGCAACAAAGACCCAACGCAGCCAAAAATAAATAAGTAAAATAAATTTTTAAAAAATGGAATGCTTTACAAATTTGTGTCCTCCTTGTGCAGTGGCCATGCTACTCTTCTCTGTTTCTACGGTTTTAGAATATGTGCTGCTGAAGTGAGCACCTGTAGCAAGTTATTTTACTTCTCTCTGCTTTTGTTTTCTCATCTTAAAAAAAAGAAGGGTGGGTGGTAACCATACCCAGCTCTTAGGGTTCACTCCAGAACATGGCCTAGTGCACGGTGAGTGCCAAGGGACTGTTTCTATATGAATCAAGTGTGCACAAGTAAAACAACACAGTCTCACATTCTAAGGAGGGGCTCCGCCCAGGGCAAGTGAGAAAATCATAAAATTTCTAATTACCCCTCGTGTTTTAGTTATACACCTAAATCATATATTCCTAGCCTTCTATACATATGCTTCGATTTCGTTTTCTTCCTTCCCAACTGAATACAGCGCAGACCAACTAAAGCCCATTGCACGTCCAACTGAGGCCGGCGTCATTGATTTTAGCATCCGCAGTTCTTCTCAGCTTTGTCCCTATTGTACCAAGGCCATGAGATCTCGCGCCTTTTCTCTAGTATCATCAGTTTTTCATGTCCACTCATTTTATGAAAGTGTGAAGACAAAATGGTCAACTAGCCACAACTAACCTGACACACAGGCCAAGGTAGCTTGAACTTGATGGGATCAAAAGCATTTACTGAGGGATCCTGGAAAACAGAAATGAAGTTCCCCACCCTGGAGGGGCTCACAGCCTTATGAGGGGCAAACATAAGGAATACATCTTCAGAGTGCGGTGAATGAGCACAGCGGGTGGGCATATGGGGATTCAGCCAAGCACAGAGGAGGAAATGCACATCCCACCTGTGGCCAGGGAAGTGTGGTCACTGATGCCAGGATTGCAGAGTGAAAAGAGAGAATCAGGCTGAGGTCCATCCAGCGCTATCGCTTGTCTTGGGCAAATTACTTAAAGTCTCTGAACCATCATTGATAAAGGAACAATAAGATTCTCTTCATTAAAAAAAAGATACAAATGAACTTATTTACAAAACAGAAATAGACTCACAGACATAGAAAACAAACTTATGGTTACCAAAGGGAAAAGTGGGGGAAGGATAACAGGAATTTGAGATTAAGAGATACACACTATCATAGGTAAAATAGAAAAACAGCAAGAATCTGCTATATAGCGCAGGGAACGATATTCAATATCTTGTAATAACCTATAATGGAAAAGAATTACTTTGTTGTACACCTGAAACATGATAAATCAACAGTACTTCAATATAAATAAATAAATAAAAATTTTTAAAAAAGATCCACTTCAAAGGGTTATTTTAGAGGATTAAATGAGATAGAAAAATGTGTTCAGTAAATTGTGAGGTACATAGAAGACACAATCATTTATGGCTGGGAGCAGGGGCATAGGAGGAATAGAGACATTTTAACAGGGTAGGACGGTCAGTGGAGGGTACAAAGTGGGAAACACCTTCCTTCACTACAGGAGGAAAGTATCAGAGCAGATAGGGCTGCAAGAACCGGAGGAAGCCAGTGAGAATCCCCAGGCAAGCCATGAATGAAGCCAAGAGCAGACCTTGATATTTATGATTACTAATCTCTCCTTGCTAGGGTGGGGATAAGGGGTAAGGGGGCCAACCCCATTCTGGAGGGCAGAGAATCAGCAAGGAAGAGAGCTGGGGCTCCTGCCGAAAACCCCAGCTTTCTTCGTGGGGAGAGAGGAAGAGATTATCAGCTGATGGAGAATTGGTGGCATTGCGCAGGTCTCTTTAGGGAAGCTGTGAAATGTTTGGAAGAGCAACTGTCGGGAGGGGAATGAGGGTTGTCCAGATCCATGTTACAGGGCGACTAGAGGCACTGACTATCGTGGGTTGTGTGATTTTCTCCAATAGGACAAAGAGCAGTTGGTTGTATTGGCTCAAGGCAGAAGGTTTATGAGGAAGGCTGTAAGGAGTGGGGTTGAAGTGATTCACAATGAAGTCAAGGTTATAGAGGAAGTGGGGTGAGGTCAAAGAGGGCGGGTAGTCAGTGATGACCTCCAGGATGTGGGCTCCAGGAGAAAGAAGTGTCAATAAGATGGACCATCAGGTGGAGCAAGAGGAAGGGGAGGCTCAGTGCTTGGGGAATTTGATGGTCAATGTAGAGCAATCCTGAATGGTAAGAAGGTCTAAGGCGGTCCCTAGTGTGGAGGGGCAGATCTTTATGGTCTTGAAAGATGAGATGAGAAGCAATGCTAGGTCAAGGTAAACAAGGACTGAAGTGCTAAATGAGGTTCTTTATATAAAGTATTTAATATTATCTCAACAGCCCTTCAAGTTGGGAATTTGGGAAAAATAGAAATTCAGGCACAAATTAAGAAGACTGCCAAGTCCCTTGGAGCTATTAAGATGGGAAGCTCAGCACAGAGTACTCTGCTCAATATTCTTTTTTTACTTTTTTTGGCCATGCCGCATGGCATGTGGGATCTTAGTTCCCCGAACCTGCACCCCCTGCATTGGAAGTGTGGAGTCTTAACCACTGGACCACCAGGGAAGTCCCTCTGCTCTGTATTCTGTAACAACCTAAATGGGAAGAGAATTTGAAAAAGAATACATGATATATGTATAAAAAAGATACATGTATATGTATAACTGAATCACTTTGCTGTACACCTGAAACTAACACAACATTGTTAATCAACTATACTCCAAAATAAAATTAAAATTTTTTAAAGTATAAAAAAAAAGAAAAAAAAGATGGGAAGCTCAGATTAAATCCAGGGCTGACTGGTTCCAAAGCCCAGGTTCTTTCCATCTCCCCAGATTTCCCCAAAGAGGTGGCACTTGGGACCTCTCTAATTCATTCTCATCATTTTTCACAGCTCTCAAGGTTGGAATCTCTGACTCTTGAGATCTTGGGGAGCCAGGTAGGTGAGACCGGGCAGGCCCTGACAGTGATAAAGCTCTCCTGAGCTCAGCGGCCCTGTCCTTATTCCCTGTAGGCATCAGGATGGCCCTGGGTAAGGGATGGAACTCTCAGCTGGTCTGGGCGCCCCTGCAGAGAGGGCAAAAGGGAAAGGAAGAGCATCAGGAAACACCTGGATCTCTTGTTGCTCTGAATATATTTCACGTGATTGACCTGCTCAGGAATTCACTCATTCAGCAGGAGGAGGACATGGGAGATGGTGAGATCTGGGTTCAGATTCAGCTCCAGCACTTGCTAGTTGTGTGACTTTGGAAGACACTAACCAGCTTTCTCAGTTTGCCCAAAATTAAGGGTATTTTGGGACATGGAACTTTCAATGCTAAAACCAGGACAGGCCTGGGCAAAATAGGATCGTTAGTCACCCCAGACAGGCTACTCAACCCTTCTAAGCCTCAGTGTCCAACTATAAAATGTGCCCGTCTGCTGCCCGCTTCTCACACCTGAGGCTGCACTTTACAGAGAACACGAAGAGGGAGTGCGGTTTAATTCCATCTGGTTGGGAGAAGCTGAGGGTTGACTGCATGTTCCTTCATCTGCAGAAGCTGAAATTCTGAAGTGTAAAGCAACTTTTCACCAACGTTCTGCTTGGAGCCCTCAGCTGTGCTGATGTGGGGTCTGGAGCACGAATCAGGAACCTCCCCCACTGATCACGTCCCTGCCATTCCTGGTTGCTGCCTCTTGATCCCAGGTGGGCGTGGCAAGGTCCAAACACACCTTGCTCAGTAGGCAGTGGTGAGATGTGGGTTGTGGGTTGTGGATGAAGGCCACTTGAAGCATGAAACCCAGAACTCTGGTTGCAGTAACGTTGCTTAAGAAGGAGTCTTTAGGCTTCAGCCAGGATGGGTGGCGTAAGCATGGCAGGAAGACAGCACCGTCTTCCTGAAGGGTTGTCTCCCCTGGCGCCTGCTGCTGCTGCTCTTCTAGCCTGAGGTTGGTGTCCTCCACATTTTGCTCAGGAGCCAGGTTCATTGAGGTCCTCAACAATGTGGAAGGGGAAGGTGTGGAGCTGTCGTTGCTGGAGGAACGTGAGTTCTGAGCAGAAAGTAAGAAGTGGATGAACTTAACAGTTGTAAATTTGGCCACCCACAGTTCCTCAAAAAGTTACACATAGAATTACCATATGAATGAGAAATTCTACTCCTAGGTATGTACAGAAAAGGAACTGAAATCATATGTCCACCCAAAAACCTGGACCTGAATGTTTCTAGCAGCATTACTTGTAATAGGCAAAGAGTGGAAACAACCCACATGTCCATCAACCGAGGAAAGGATAAACAAAATGTGGTACAGGTATCCCTCACTTTTCTTTCTTTCTTTCTTTCTTTCACTTTATTTTTGGTTGCATTGGGTCTTTGTTGATGCACGCGGGCTTTCTCTAGTTGCGGGGAGCAGGCGCTACTCTTGTGGAGCATGGGCTCTAGGCACATGGGCTTCAGTAGTTGTGGTGCGCAGGCTCAGTAGTTGTGGTGCACAGGCTTAGTTGCTCAGCGGCATGTGGGATCTTCCTGGACCAGGGCTAGAACTTTGTTCGTGTCCCCTGATTTGGCAGGCGGATTCTTAACCACTGTGTCACCAGGGAAGCCCCTCTTTCTCTCTTTCTTTCTTTCTTTCTCTTTCTTTCTTTCTTTCTTTCTCTCTCTCTCTTTCTGGCCACGCTATGAAGCTTGCAGGACCTTAGTTCCCCAACCAGGGATCAAACCCATGCCCCCTGCAGTGGAAGTGCAGAGTCTTAACCACTGGACCGCCAGGGAAGTCCCTTCCCCACTTTTCTTGAAAGTTCACTTTATGCCACTTTGCTTTTAGGAAAACCTACATTAGTACCTGTTTTTGCTAGCCAAAAGAAATCTGAAGAGGATTTTCGCTTTTACAATAGTAAAAGCCAAAAGGTGAGAGTCGTATTCAGTGTCTGTTTTGCAGCGAGTGGTTATAGAGGCAGCACATACCCCAAGCAAGGGAGTGGCACAGCCAAGCTCTTTCCCCAGAAACTACACTCAGCATCTCAGCATCCAGCCACCATAGTTTTCAACTGTGTCTGTGGGCATCTGTGCTTTATCTCGGTTTATTTTGTGCATCCATTAGCAAGATGTGTCCTAAGATAATTACTTCTTCGCTTTGTCATTTCAGTTTATGGAAGGCTTCATGGGAATGCTCTACTTTCAGGTAGTGGGAAAGACAAATATTCATATGATGAAATATTATTTATTCAGTGATTAAAAAACAGGAGTGAAGCACTGATTCATGCTATAGCATGGATGGACCTTGAAAACATTATGCGATGTGAAAGATACAAGACACAAAAGGCCACAAATTGTATGATTGCATTTATATGAAATGTCCAGAATAGACAAATTCATAGAGAAAAAGCAGATAGTGGTTGCCAGAGACTGCGGGGGAGGAGGGAATGGGAGTGACTACTAGTGGGTATACAGTTTCCTTTTGGGGAGATGAAAATGTTCTGAAATTGGACAGTGGTGGTAGTTGCACAGTCTTGTGAATACACTAAAAACCACTGAATGGAACACCTGAAAAGGGTGAAATTTATAGTATGTGAATAATGGCTCAATAGAAACAATAATAAATAAATAAAGTCTGGCCACCCAGTGCTGCTACATGTAGAAAGTGCAGCAATGGAGTGATGTATTCAGGATCCAGTTGATACCCCTTGGCATTGGGATGGGAGAGCTAGAGGATGGATGAATTTGGATGGACGAGTTTTCTGGAACCAGAATACAAGTGAGTCCTCCAGCTGGATCTCAGGTGACTAATGACCCATAGAGGTAGTAATCCTTTCTGATGAATGAGACAGTGATAGTCAGGTATGTGGTAAAGGACATGAAGTTTGATGTTTTCTTTCTTTCTTTCTTTCTTTTTTTTTTGGCTGCGTTGGGTCTTCGTTGTTGCATGCGGGCTTTCTCTAGCTGCAGTGAGCAGGGGCTACTCTTCGTTGTGGTGCGCAGGCTTCTCATTGCGGTGGCTTCTCTTGTTGCGGAGCACGGGCTGTAGGCGTGCGGGATTCAGTAGTTGTGGCACGCGGGCTCAGTAGTTGTGGCTCACGGGCACTAGAGCACAGGCTCAGTAGTTGCGGTGCACAGGCTTAGTTGCTCCGCGGCATGTGGGATCTTCCCGGACCAGGGCTCAAACCCGTGTCCCCTGCGTTGGCAGATGGATTCTTAACCACTGTGCCACCAGGCAAGTCCCTTGATGTTTTCTTGAGAGCATCCACCTCCGCCAGAATCAGGCTAAGAACCTGAGTATGGTCAGGCTCAGTACACATAGGACTTGGGGAAAGTTGTGGTAGCCCCTTGGGCCCTCCTTTCTCCTGGAAACATCTGGTGGGCAGCGATGCAACATAGAGTGTAGGTGTTGGCCACTGAGAGCCTCAGTCTGGAATATACCTCATTAACTTTTCAAGTAGCATCATGGTGGAGAAAAAGGACCCACAAAAGCCACCTTGTGGGCAGGGCCCCCCCCACAACATACTCAGCTCAAATGATCGTTTCCTCAAGATCCATCAGGTCCAGTTATCTCCAGATGGGGCTTCAGTTTAGCGCTACAGAGAACTATTAAGGTGTAGGCATGGCCAGATTAGGCAGGTGGGATCCAAGCAGAAGTGAAGGGGGTACCAGGCAGTCAGTTAGCAATTCCTTTAGCAAGTCTAAAAGTGAGCAGAACCCCAGTGGGTAGCTCACCAAGCCGCCACATCTCTGTTCCTTTGAGGTCCACATACACTGGGCCTGGCATCATCTGGAACTTCTGACTGGAGAAGACATGGCCCAGAACTCCAGTTCTGCAAACAGATGTTTCCTCAGAGAGGCTGCACTGCTGGGAAAGCCTGCTTCTTCCCCTCCCCTGTCTGCCTGCTGCCCAAATAAATCAGGCAGTTTTACCCAGGAAGCCTTCTTAATATTATGAAATATTATACAATATAGAAAAGTACAAAAAAAGAAATGTTCTGTACAATAATAATAAAGCAGTTTTTTACTTAGTAACTTTGAGTTACCTGTGGGATCTAGTTGGAAATTCTGTTCCAGGAGTTCCTTGGCGATCCAGTGGTTAGGTTTCTTTCACTGCTGTGGGCCCGGGTTCAATCCCTGGTCGGGGAACTAAGATCCTGCAAGCCATGAGACCAAAATTTAAAAAAAAATAAATTCTGTTCTGGAACATAGTTAACAGGCCTAGGATTATATTAAATAAGCATTTGCAGGTTGCAGGTCACAGAAACCCAACCCAAACTATGAAGCACAAAGGGAAATGTATTATAAGGACGCATGAGCCAAGGACAAGACTATAGCTGGGCATCTGGAGGGAAATGGAACCAGAGACTCAAACAACACCAGAAATCTCTCTTTCTCTCCAGTGCTCCTCTCTCTGGTCCGCGTGATGGGAGAGGGAGCACTGAGAGTTCCCAACCCTCACATCTAACAGATTCAGTCACCCAGAGACATTCAGTCTCAGTTCCAAAATTCCAAGGGAAAGAACTCATTGGTCCAGCCTACCTGAGGCATTCAATCAACTCACGGTTAAGTGTGTGTGTGTGGTGGGGGTGACATTATAGGAATGTGACGGCTCTTACTGTAACCATTCAGAAAAGACACTTCCTCGAATAGTGGCGTCAGTCTAACAATCCCACAGGTGTCCACTGCAGGGCAGAAGCTTTTGGACCCCCAGAGGATGTAGACCATAGCGGTGGGTCTCAACCTTGGCCGCCCATTGAAATCACCTGGAAAACCTTGAAGACTGTTGCCTGGGTCCCTCCCCAGACGTTCTGATTTACTTGGTCTGAGGTGTGGCTTCAGCCTCAGGCTTTTTTTTTTTTTTTTTTTGGCTGCGCCGCACAGCACGCAGGATCTTAGTTCCCTGACCAGGGATCGAACCTGTGCACCCAGCAGTGGAAGTGTGAAGTCTTAACCACTGGATCGCCAGGGAAGTCCAAGCCTCAATCTTTTTAAAAAGCTCCCGGGGTGCTTCTAACATACGGCCAAGGTTGAGAACTGGCTAGTGCCGTGCTCTTCAGACACTCATGCGCCCACACGTCACTTGGGTATCCTGATAAGATACAGCTTCTGATCCAGTAGGTCTGGGCGGGGCCTGAGAGTGTGCATTCTGATGCTCTCTCTGGGTGCTGCTGACCGTCTGGGAAGCCAGGTTCTAAGGCAGCACTGCCCAATAGTGCTTTCTGTGATGGCAGGAATGTTCTGTAGCCGCACTGTCCATACAGTGGCCACTAGCTGCAATGTAATTAGTGGATTAATTAAATGAAATGTAATTAGTGACACTGAAGAGCCGAATGTTTTATTTGACTGAGTTTGAATTTGAAGAACCACACCTAGCTAATGGCTACCGTATTGGACAGAGCAGGTCTAGTGGATTTCATCCACAGGGAGGGCGTATCTGAATCACCTGTGGGATTTCTTGACCAACTCAGTGCTCTCGTGGCTACCATGTTCCTCCTCACCCTCCCCAATACAGGCCCTAAAACAGTGTAATAGAATGGGTGGGGGGGGGCAAAGAATAGGGATAAAGAGTGAACCCTGGAGAAGGCCCCACAGGTTATTCTGAAGTACTGTCCTTACTCACTTGGTGAGAAACACTGATGTAGAATGTTCCAGATTATCTATTTCTCTGCTACAAACCCACCCTCGAACTTGGTGGCCTAAGACAGCAATATTTTTTTTTTCTCATGAATCTGCTTTTTGGCCAGGGCTGAGTGGGGATAACTCAGCGTCCGCTGACGTGGCTGGAAGCCTGGGACTGGAGTCATCTGGAAAGGAGTTTGCTTACGGGTCAGAGAGTTGACGTTGGCTGTCAGTTGGGACCCTTGCTGGGACTTTAACCAGGGCACCTACTTGTGTCTTAGGCTTCCTCACACATGGTGACTGGGTTTCAAGGATGAGTAGAGAGTGGGAATGAGCCAAGCCACGTGGGAACAGCACTCTCCCTATTTTTTAACCTAGCCGTGGCAGCCATACTGTCACTTCTGCTGAATTCTAGTCATTAGAAGTGAGTCATGGGACTTCCCTGGTGGCGCAGTGGTTAAGAATCTGCCTGCCAATGCAAGGGACATGTGTTCAATCCCTGGTCTGGGAAGATCCCACATGCTGTGGAGCAACTAAGCCCGTGTGCCACAACTAGAGTCTGCGAGCCACAACTATTGAAGCCCTCGTGCCTAGAGCCGGTGCTCCACAACAAGAGAAGCCACTGCAGTGAGAAGCCCGTGCACCGCAATGATGACCCAATGTAGCCAAAAAATAAATACATAAAATTTAAAAAAAAAGAAAAAAGAAGTGAGTCACAACGGCCAGCCGGTATTTATGAGGCAGGGGATGAGATTCTACCTCTGACAGGAGGAGTGAAAAGGAATTTGGAGACATGTTTTAAAACCACCACATAAGGACTTCCCTGGTGGTCCAGTGGGTAAGATCCTGCGCTCCCAATGCAGGGGCCCGGGTTCGATCCCTGGTCAGGGAACTAGATCTCAAATGCCGCAACTAAGACCCGGCTCAGCCTAAATAAATAAATAAATATTAAAAAACCACCACATACACTTAGGAATGAAGAGCACCAAGGGCAGAACTCTGCACACAGCAGCCCATGGGCCAGCTGCACAGTGTATGAGAAATAGAGTTTTACAACACAACATTGTAAAACAACTGTATTTCAATTAAAAAATTAAAATAAGACTTCCCTGGCGGTCCAATGGTTAAGACTCCGTGCTGCCACTGCAGGGGGAATGGGTTTGATTCCTGGTTGGGGAACTAAAGATCCCTCATGTCGCATGAGGTGGGCCAAAAAAGAAAATAAAGGGTGGGGGGAAATAAAATGCATATGGAGTTCAAAGAAAATCCTAAAGGAGATTAAAGTGGAAGAGCTTTAAGGAAAAAAAAAAAAGTTTAACTGGTTCCAAGCACAGCCAGGCTCATCCCAGAACACTTGGATCCAGGAGCACCCTGTCAACCAGAAGACTCCTGCACAAAGGCCTGTTTTCCAGACTCCTGACCAGAGACTTCCCTTTTACACACACTCCTTGAGTAACTTCCTGATTCCTTTTTTCAGAAATTCTTGCATGATGGAGGGGGAGGAAGCTAGGGGTCAGAATACCTGGGTTTTGCTCCCTACCCTGCAGAAGCCTGTAAAAAAAATGCAGGTTTATTTGGGAGTGAGGAAATTGTAAGGAATCATTTTCCTCTTTATGTTTCAATTTTTTATACTATGATTTAAAGTTTTCATGGTGGTAAAATATATATACCATAAAATTTACCATTTTAACAATTTTTATTTTATTACCTATTTATTTTTTAATTTTTTGGCCATACTGCGTGGCTTATGGAATCTTAGTTCCCCGACCAGGAATTGAACCTGTGCCGCCTGCAGTGGAAGCACTGAGTCCTAACCACTGGACCCCCAGGGAATTCCCCCATTTTAACAATGTTTAAGTGCACAGTGCAGTAACATTAAGTGCATTCACATTGTTGTGCAACCGTCACCATCCTCCATCTCCAGAAGTTTTTCATCTCGTCAAATTGAAATTATGTGTGTGTGTATATATATATATATATGTATATATATATATAGATAGATATACACATATATGTTGGCAGCACCATGCAGCATGCAGGATCTTAGTTCCCCGAACAGGGATTGAACCCGTGCCCCATGCACTGGGAGCGAGGAGCCTTAACTTCTGGGCCGCCAGGGAAGTCCTCAAACTGAAATTCTAGACCCATTAAACACCAGCTCCTGGCAACCACCATTCTACTTTCTGTTTCTTGGAGCCTGACCACTCCAGGGACCTCATATGAGTGGAATCCTACAGTATTTGTCCTTTTGTGTCTGCCTTATTTCACTTGGCATAACGTTTTCACGGTTCATCCATGCTGTAGCATGTTTCAGAAGTTCCTTCCTTTTTAAGCCTGAATAATATGTATGATATAAACAATATTTTATATATAATATTAGCATTTTGTTTATCCATTCATCCATCAATGGACATTTGAGTTCATTTGAGTTCTTTCCACCTTTTGGCTTTTGTGAATAACTCTGCTATAAACATTAGTGTGAAAATATCTGTTTGTGTCTCTGCTTTCAATTCTTTTGCACATATGTAGACATATAATTGCTGGACATATGGTAATTCTATGTTTAATTTCTTGAGGAACCAGTTAGAATTTTTTAAGCCTTTTTGTAAGTGATGAAAAACAGTTAAGAATCAAAACAGCCAGTTTGATACCTTAGGAACAACGACAACAAAAAATCATACCTGGTCTTTCTGGTTTGTTTGTTTGGTTTTTAGTTTATTTAATTTATTTATTTTTGGCTGCATCTGGTCTTTGTTGCTATGTGCAGGCTTCCTCTAGTTGTGGCAAGCGGGGCCTTCTCTTTGTCATCGGGGTGGCTTGTTGCGGAGCATAGGCTCTAGGTGCGCGGGCTCAGTAGCTGTGGCCCGCGGGCTCAGTAGTTGTGGCTCGCGGGCTCTAGAGCGCAGGCTCAGTAGTTGTGGCGCACGGGCTTCGTTGCTCCGCGGCATGTGAGATCTTCCCGGACCAGGGCTGGAACCCGTGTCCCCTGCATTGGCAGGTGGATTCTTAACCACTGTGCCACCAGGGAAGCCCTGTGGTTCTGAATAATGTTTACTGTTCTAGAGCTTTAATTTTTTTTTAAAGAAAGACTAATTACAAGAGAACATACATAACAATTTTCAGGTTTTATTTATTTGGAATTTCTTTTAAAAAGAAAACTTTTTATCGTCATGAATACATATCACACAAAAATTACCATCTTAACCACTTGTACATATCCAGTTCAGTGGTATTAAGCTCAGGTTTTATTTTAAGGCTTATAATCTCATCAAATTCTAATCTCGGTGGGTGATGCATATTAAGGCCAGAGCCTTGGGACTCTCCTTTCCACCTACTCCTACCCCTGCCACACTTTGTACTCCTTCTGGCCCTTCCCTCCAAACCGCAAGGACAGAGCAATCTGAGTCAGGCTGCCTTTGTGACCTTCTTTGGTAAGACACTAACATTTCAACATATTTTTTGTAGCCTTTCACATTAAATGGCTGTCATTTTGCAAAACAAAATCTGAGTACGTAGGAAGAGTTCTGTTGTGTACACGTTGTTTGGCAGAGAAGGAATTTATATCTATGCTTCCCCCATCCTCCTATATACATGAGGTGTGTGACTTAGAACACAACACCTCCCTTATTTAGGGCTTACCTGCCATCTGTCAGTGAGTGAGTCGATTCTAGACAGTCTCTGAAAGGCTCCCAGTCCAGGAGCTGATGATTCTCTCAACACCAAGCACCAGGAGAAAGGAGCCGAGATGACAAATGTTCGTGGTCTTGGAGAGAGGCCTCAGCATACTTTCTAGCCTTGGATCCTTCCCAGAGGCCTGACATTTTTGCTACCTGAGCCTCACCTCACAGAGTTTCCAACCAAAATTGGGGCTAAATGGTCTGAGGACAAGAAGATATATGTTAGTGAAGTGCATGGAGAAGGTGGGCAAGCAGGAAGGTGTGTGGGGACAGATAGCAGGAGTGGGTACGGCGGGGCCCAGTGGGCAGGGCAGGGACACAGCAGCCACCTGCGAGCAGGTAGAGCAAGCCACCTTGGTGGTCTGGATGGGCTCTGTCTCTCTCTCTTGGCTTCCAGGTAATTGTTCTAGGGCCTGGGGCCTGACTGTGGGGTGACACTGAGTTCAACAGAACCACTGCCCATTCCGGCCCCACCTCTCACCAGGAAACGCCTCCCCACCGCAGTGACCACATCCCCCCAGGTTGCCTTGGAAACACTCTGTGGGGGCTGGGAGATCCAGGGCACAGTTGCCCAGCAACAGGTGGTGCCCTCCCTTCCGCCCTCATCTGAGGCA